GTCTTGACGGAGGACCAGATCCGGTTAATGGTAGCAGTATTATATTATATTTGGAGAACCCGGAATTCAGCTGTCTGGAAGGGATCAATGATGCGGCCTACCCAGTTGGCCAGAGCAGCCACCGTAGCACTGCAGGCGTACGGCACTGCTCATGTTGGCCGAACCAACCCGACACCGGCGACGGACCACGTGAATGGTCCAGGAGGGGGTGGTCTACGATGTTATGTGGACGCGGGTTTCCGGCACGACACGGGCGAGGCTACTTACGGCATGGTAATTATAGCTCCAGATGGCTCGTTTGTGGCAGCAAGGAATGGCAAGTTACCAATTTGTTTTTCACCACTTATGGCGGAGGCTCAGGCATACAAGGAGGCTTTGTCCTGGCTACTTGAACGGGACACCACATCAGTAAGTTTACTCACGGATTGCATGGAATTGGCAGCGATATTCAGGCACCATCATGCGCCAATACATTCGTACGTTGGGGTCACAGTTGACCAGTGCAGGACGTTTATGTCGTTATTTAATCGTATTACTTTGGATTATATTTCTAGGCAGGTTAATTTACATGCGCATACTTTAGCTACGTTAGCATTTACTCAGGATCAAGCTATGTACTGGGATGCTATCCCACCTGACACTATTTCGGCTTTGATTCATTAATACAATCGCAAGATTGACCTTCAAAAAAAATACGAAAATACAATTTATCCTATATATTATTATTTGACGGTAATAAACTTAATTCTTACTAACACCGACATTTGTTGGCCACTACGGCCACACTAATGCTTTTACCACTGAGTTATGTTTGGGGATAAATTTTTACACATAAGTTTGAATCCCAAATCTAAAGATCCGATTGTAATTTGTAAATTTTTACACATAAGTTTGAACCTCAAATATAATGTTGTGTTTGGTTCGCACACGAAAATTGAAATCATAATGGGAATCAAATACTTGGTAATGATAATGAATTTTGACAAAAATATTTTGCATGTTTAGTAGTAGAGTCGACTTGGAATGATTACTAATATTAATGTTTGGTTATATACATGATTGTAAAACTCGGCCTAGGGCTTAGGCGGTACCATGTCGTGCCGTTTTTGTCTAGAGTCGCCCATTAATCGACCAACCGCCTAAGTGGCCAAATTGGCCAAAATCAGCCGAGTCAGTAATCGATCAATTTCATCTGATTTTAACCAATTTCGTCCGAGTTGGCTATACACTTTATTATTTTAAAGCTTTTGTTTCTTTCATTAATTCTTGAATCTTGATTTATTCGAAGTCTATTCTGCTGCTTTGCATTTTAATGTTTTAATTTCTTTCATTAATTATTGGTTTCTTTGATTCTTTCATACAAATGGAGTTAATTCCCAAAATGATCATTCTACTATGATCTTTTCTCAAATTAGTTCATTGACTTTTAATTGCACCCAAAGTGGTCCTTTGACTATTAAATTTTAAACTAAAATGGTCAACCGTTAGTTTTGGTGTTAAGTGGGTGTTAAAATTATGAGTAAAACTGGTAATTCAGAGTTTTCACTATTGTCAGAGGACTACTTTGAGTGCAATTAAAAGTCAAAGGACCAATTTCAACTATCTAGTTAATATTTTAAAAGAAAATTTCATTTTTATGAACTATAATATAATCTAAAAGTTTCAATTGTGTATCATACTTAGAGTTGATGTAATTAAATTAAAAAGTATTTATGAATATAATATTAATAGTGATGATATACAATTTATTCCAACCATTTTATATTTTATTATAAATATTCTTGTATCACGTTTTGAAGGTTTTTTTTTTTTTTTTTTTTTCGCATCCACTGACCAACATTTTTTGTTCTACCCCTATTAACCAATGTTGCATTTTTGTAATAGACAGTGATTTTTTTAATCTTTTTTATCCGTTTGTATTTAATTGTTGTCTTTTTTTTCTTTCTTTTTTTTTTTTTTATAATAAGCAATGGTTTATGTCTGTTGTCCATTTGGTTATAATTTTTCACAATAGTTTTGCCATTATATGTATGCCTATTTATGATCATAGAAAATCAAAATCTAAATACATAATGTCAAGCATTCCTGAATAATACAGAGTTAATCCAAACTCCAAAATTAATGTTAGTTTGTACAGCTATATATAAATACTAGGCTAACAATCAAAATTATTATTCTAAGTTATTTAAAAAAAAAAAAATCTAGCTAACAATTAAAATAAAAAGACTGTTTATTTAGAAAATGAAAATAAGTACAAGATCAACCCCTTTTAATCAAAATGAGTACAAATCATGTTTTAACTACAAAGAGAAAATTCCTAAAATGGTCCTCCAACTATGGCATTTTCTCAAATTGGTCCTTTGACATTTAATTGCACCCAAAGTAGTCCTTTGACTATAGTGAAAACTTTAAATTACCAGTTTTACCCCCCATTTTAACACCCACTTAACACCAAAATTAACGTAGGACCATTTTGACTTAAAATTCAATAGTCGGAGGATCACTTTTGGTGCAATTAAAAATCAAGGAATAAATTTGAGAAAAGGTCATAATCGGAGGATCGTTTTGGGAATTGACTCATACAAATATACATTCTTAATTAGTTAATACAAATAACACAATTATTGATTTTAATATTGTTATGACTTATGAATTATCATTATTTCATTTATTTTGATGTGTTATTTGATTGAATGTTAAAAACAGCCTCATTAAAATTGTTAAACTGCAAATCTGCCACTATTTTTTTTTTTGCGCTCGCCTAATTCCACCTAGGCGCTAGGCGCTGCCCTAGCGTCTAGTACAACCATGGTTATGTATGACCCTATAATGATTGTTTAAAAAATACAAAAAAAAAATCAAGACAATTAATCATAATATAATGACATACACAGTACTAATATGAACAACAAGTCAAAACAAAAATCTAAATGATATAGTGAGGAGGTGATATATGAGGAGGAATAAAATGGAATGATACCGTCTTTAATTAGGGAATGAAATGTTTAATTGAATGAGTAATCAAATATCATATTTGTGTTTTAAAAAGTTATCAACCAAACAATAATTATGATTTGATTCTCATTTTCCGAGTGTAATCCCATGAACCAAACACACCCTAAATTCACACGAGTAGAGTTTATAGTGGTTATCAGTTGTTCTTATCCTTAATTGTTTTTTTTTTCTACACTTAAAAAAAAAAAAAAAAAAAACATAACATCTAATTAAGATCATCAAGAAGTATATCAACCAGTAAAACATTAAGGGAAGTCCTCCAGTCCCTACTATCGACTATGAACAGGCTTCCATAGTTAACAAGTGGACAATCTTGTTCGTGGACCGTTTAGCAAACATAAAATTAATAATATGAAATTCATCAGCTATTTTTCTAATGTCTTTCCTATACCATTTTTAATCGTAAAAGTATCAGAGCATCCACAATAGGAGTTTGTTCTTGATTTTTTTAAACACTAAAAACTAGAAGGATATGTTTTTAACTAATGCGGAGGTGAGGTTTTTGATGCTTGGGTCTTCATGCAAAAAAAAAAAAAAAAGTTTTTGTCAGATTTTTTTTTAATATACATCAGTGAGACGCGGTTGCATCCCGCTGGGGTGTTTTAGAGTGACCGTCAATAGATGCAACTTTGTTTTTTTGTTTTTTGTTTTTTTTTTTTTTGTTTTAGCAGGTGCTTGCACAACAAGTGCCACAAATTTTATTTATTTTTTATGAAATTATTTTTATTTAACTTTGATGTTAATTTGTTTTTGTTTATATAATATAAATGTAGACATGTAGTATAGAATTTTAATTTAAATATTATATTTATTAGTAGCTTAATTTTAATTTTATAATTATCATTTCAATTAAATGTAGACACGTTAAAATCTTTATAACTAATTTGTTATGATGGAAACTTACAACTAGAGTATACAGAAGATAAATTCCGTTAATTTTGTATGATAGCTTGCAAAACATATAAGACAAATAAAGAGTAAATACCAGCGGAGGTTCTCTGACTTTGGTGGCACTGTCACTTTTAGTCCTTAACTTTTAAATCAACCACTCTTAGTCCTCTTACTTTTTGTTTCTAGCCATCTATGGTCCTTCCATTAAACTTGACCATCTAATGCCGTTTTCTCAAGGATAATTCAATCCTTTCATAATTAATTTATTAATTATTATGTTTGTCAAGTCATACCGAAATATCCCGATGTCGTTTTGGCACAACCTTCGTACCAGCTTTTGTACGCCATTTTGATTCACGAGTTGGTTTTGTACACGTTCATAGCTGGGGAAACCATTGTTTGACTATTCTGATGAGGAAATTAAACATAATAATTACTAACTTAATTATGAAATGATTGAATTATCTTTTAGAAAACGGCATTAGATGGTCAAGATTAACGAAAGGACCATAGATGACTAGAAACAAAAAGTAAAAGGACTAAAAGTTGTTAATTTAAAAGTTGAGGACTAAAAGTGGTAGTACCACCAAAGTCGAAGGACCTCCGCCGGTATTTACTCGACAAATAAATTACAGTAGTCCCGGGCTTAGCATAGTTAGTTCATCGTCTGACTTAAAGATCCTGACTGTCCTGGCTAGAGGTTGGAGGTGACAGTGTGGGTGTTCGTAATTGCGTGACTCACAATTTACCTTCACAATGACTTTAAGAGTGGAGTGTTATATACTTAAAGATTAGTAGGACAAGTTGGGATAACCTAAGTTAGCAATTCTTATAATTAACTCCAGAGTAGTAATACATTATAATAGAGCAAGTAGTTATGAACAAATACGGTAACAGAGCTAGTTAGTAGTACTAACAAAAAAAAAAAACTCTAGTAGAAATGGGATTATGGGAGTAATAATAATTAATTAAAAGCAAAGAAAAATGCAAAATGCACGCAAAAATAGAAAATTTTAAAAAATAATATATAGAATTAAGAGCTAAATTTGTGCGCGGGTATAAAGAGGGGGCGGAGAGAGAGTGAGAGGCCGTTCCTTCTCTCCAGGGAGAATGGCGTGAGACTGTACCAACCGGAGTGACTGAGAGAGTGTGTGTGTATGTATGTATGTATGTATTCTAGACGGTGGCGATACCATATCTCTACACTCGTCTTTGCATGCTTCACCAACTCATTCTAAAGAAAACCCAAAACCCAAATCGCTAAAACGCCAATGATACACCACCCTACACAGGAGAGTGTACATGAGAAAAAAGGAGAATTAAAGCACCTTCATCCGGGCTTTGGGGAATCCGGGACCGACCCAGATGATAAAAGCGGGTAATTTCTCGTGGGTAATTTTCTGTTCCGTGTTTTATCTGATCAGTTGGTCTCCATTGTTGCTTTGATCGCGTTTTTTTTTTTTTTTTTTTTTCCTTTGTTGTGAAATATATATCAGTGTAATTTTTGTTGTTACATTACTGCGCGGGATTTGTTTTTGTGTTGATTGTGTTTGTGGTGCGATGGTTGAGAGAGATGGGGTTGGAGTGAAGATGAAGGATGATGAGGAGGAGCTGGAGATGTTGTTGGATGAGATCCCTCATGCAACATCTTTCAATCTGAATCATCTTCATAGCAATGGGTGTGATGGGTCATATGTGAGGCGAAAATTGTATGATCATACCTGCAGTGTTTCCCCTCTCAGAGGGGTTTTAGTGAAATCTGATGGCTCTGGTGGTGGATCACCAGCTCCACCTCCCATGGAAGAGCTAAAACCCAGTGTGGTTTCTGATCATTTCAAGGGGTTGCAGATCAATCATGGAATTGGTGGTATGAGGGCGGATGGGAATGGGAATGGGAATGGGAATACTTTCAGTGATCTGAATTTGGGGAAGAATTTTAGTAGTAGATTGTATATTAGTGGGGAGCAAGAGAGTGGGTCGAAAACCAGCTTTTCTGATCGGGGTGTTAGAATGGTGCCTGAAAAGTTTAGGGGAATCGGTGATCAGAAGATGGGCGTTTCTGATTATAGAGGATTTGTATCATCTGCTCCTGTACCGCAAAATCCAATAGGTGTTAATAGTCAGGTGGGTTCTCCAATGCCCGTTGGATTGTCGTATGATTGTGGGTTTGGTAATTTATATGCAACGCAATATCTTTCTGGTCTATCGAACGGATTGGTTTCGCAATTGAATCCGAATAGTAGTGCTATGGATTCCCAGCTCTACCAAACTAAAGTGCTGGCCGGTCATCTCTATCACGTGGGAATTCCATTGTCGGATTTGCCTGGTTCTGTAATGTGGAATGTCTCACATGCTCCGCAAAATGGAAGGTCTATAGCTGGAGAGTTCCCGTTTGTGCCTCACAGAAAGTCTCACATTGATGCAGAGAATGCCTTTTACTCGCATCAACATTTGTCAAATGGAAGGGGGAACGTGACCCAGAGTGCTAGAATGCCTCAAGGGAATATCGAGGCTTTTGCTAGGGATGATAGCTTGATCGTGCAAGGGGAAAGCTTAAGTTGCACTGAAAAAAACGCCCGTCCACTTTCAATTGGACACGACAAGGCCAGGCCTCAAGAAAAGAGGTCACAACAACTATACGGTAGTCCCAAGAGCAAAGGCATTCAGGAAAGCGGGCGAAGCAGTGGGCTTTATCTCCCTTTCTCTCTGCCACTCAAGCTTAGCTCGTTGAGAGAAGTTCAAGGATATATTTCTCACATGGCAAAGGATCAATATGGTTGCCGATTCTTGCAAAGGATTTTTGACGAGGGAACTCCCCGAGATGTTCAAATAATATATGATGAGATAATTGATCATGCCGTTGAACTTATGATGAACCCATTCGGGAATTACCTTATGCAAAAACTGTTGGAAGTGTGCAATGAAGAACAAAGAACGCAAATACTACTAAGGGTTACTGAGGATCCCGGTCAACTTGTCAGCATCTCTTTAAATACCCATGGGTATGTCCTTGTACTATAGATACGACTATAGATACAACAAGATTATCCTTTCCTTGTTGATTTACTCAGTGTTTTTCTGCTTTTTCTTTTGCGTCAGGACTAGAGTAGTGCAGAAGCTGATCGAAACGCTGAAGACCAGGCAGCAAATTTTGATACTCATTTCATCGCTCGAACCAGGATTTCTTGATCTTATCAAGGACTTGAACGGTAACCATGTTGTTCAGAGGTGCTTGCAATGCTTTAGTAATGAAGACAGTAAGGTATTGTTTTTTTTTTCTTTACTATAGTTGTTGACGTGATAAGGTTTTTGGTATTTGCAACTTTCTAAAAATTGTCTTTTTCCCTGTTGACAAGCATTCGTTTAGTGTTTCCTTAATATCATGCGTCGAATAAATAGTTGCCATAGGAATGAGATCACTTCAAAATCATGTCTTCTCTGTTTCTGTATCTCTTTTGGTATATATTTTCTCATAGTTATTATGTAGATAAGCTTATGGTTTAATAACATCATTTGGCCAATAATAATTAACCGATACTACTCATAAAAATGAGGCTTTTGATCTTTGAAGTGAAACTCATCGTGCTAGAAAAAGTTCATTACTCAACGTGATTTTCCTTTTCATTCATATCCTTCCGGTATTGAAGGAAGGAAAGGAATTGAATGCTATCCTCGTAAACATCTGAGTAATTCAGAGGAATTGAAATATACAAGATCAAGCTTAGCCATCAAGAATGATATTTCGAATAAACCCGAAAAGGTTGCCTTTAGAAAATCCAACCAACTGAAGAATAGCATGATAATAGAGCAGTGCATTTTGTGTTTTTTTGTCGCAATAATGTCTAGACTACCTTTGATGCCTTACGTTATTAGAATCGAGGGCTCTCTCTTATCTAATTTCTTCCACTTTGGGCAGTTCATTTTCGTTACTGCTGCTAAGTACTGCGTTGATATTGCAACACACCAACACGGCTGTTGTGTTCTGCAAAGGTGCATTACTCATGCAACGGGGGAGTATCAAGAAAACTTAGTTGCAGAAATTTCTGCCAATGGACTTCTTCTCGCTCAAGATGCATTCGGGTATTAACTCACCGTGAATTAGACTCACTAACGCCAATTTTGAGTTCAAAATTACTCATTCAGCATATATATATATATATATATATATATATATATATATATACACCTTAGAAACTTGTTACTTATGTTGTTACTGTTTATTTTATTTTAAAACATTTTTTTTGCATGCAGAAACTATGTTGTTCAGTTTATATTGGAGTTGAAGATCCCATCCGCCACGTCCAAGCTGATATCGCAGTTCGAGGGCAACTTTGTGCATCTCTCAACCCAGAAGTTCAGCAGCCACGTCGTTGAAAAATGCCTGATTACATGCGACGTTGAAGTCCAGTCAAAGATCATCCGCGAGCTCGTCTCTGCAACGCACTTCGAGCAGCTGCTCCAGGACCCCCACGCAAACTATGTTATCCAAACAGCGCTTCGTGTTTCTGAGGTAACATTACGATTTACGCACTCTCTTCGATACTTCTCCTTAACGCAGCACCATTTACTCAGGGTCGGATCCACAGTGAGGGCAGTTGACCCCCCTCCCCCCACCCCATCACCATAAATAGTAGCATATATATATATATATATATATATATATATATATATATAATCATAATCATAATCATAATTAGGTGAGAACCAACCTTAACCTGCGAACTTCTGAAGGATTGCACCACAACTACTACATGATTGCACTGCTGTAGCTCCTAGACATGCCTGGAGGATCTTGCGGTGCAATCCTATAGAAGTTCGCACCTGATTATGGATATATATATATATATATATATATATATATATAGTACATGTTTAGATATAAATAAAATATACAAATACAAGTAATCAAAATGTGAGCTAGATAAGATGGTAAGTTATGCCTTTAATGTAGGAAAGGTGAAAGGGTTGAATTTTTCAAACTATCTCTTTTGTTTTAATCTTTTGCTCCTGCAATTACTCATCTCTATCTCTCTGCTGCAAAAACTATCAAATGATTCATAGACTGTACTAAACACAATAAAACATATTTTTGGCGTTTAGGACTGTCTTCACAAGCTATTGGTGGATGCAATCGAGTCCCACAAGTCAATCTCGCGCAACAGTCCCTATTCGAAGCGGATTTTCTCTAACAAGCTGTGGAAGAAGTGATGCAAAATCATTCGCTCGTTTGGGGCAAAAGAAGGTTTGTTAGAAGCTCTGCTCTTCTTTTATCATTCCACTCTTTACTGATCATGAGAAGTAGTAGCAAATAAATGATCTGTTGTCAATTTTGCTCTGTAATATTTATCCCACTCGCCTGCTTTTTCTTTCCAAGAATGGGTGACTGTAAAGAACATGGAATCGCCATTTACGTTGCTTGAAATATATATAGATTCATTTGTGGTACTGTTTTTGTCATTGTCGGGTGCCATTGGATTTATTTATAATAATGGCAATATAACAATACTATGGTTATGTTTGGTTTCGCGATTTTGTATCATCGTACTATCAGATTTGATACCAATTATTAGGTCTGTTGGCCTACTTTTGTTACCCAGTATTGGATACAAAATTTCAAATTCTTTAGAGCATCCTCATCAGTTTTAGTTTTTCACGATTTTTTATTATCCAATTAGGTGAGAGTAGAGGGATGTAAAAGAGGAAGAAAAAGAAAGAAAAAAAAAAGGAATTTGACATGCAAAAAAAAAAGCTATGCAGTTAACATGCTAGCCGGCGCGTGACGCGCACTTTTTTGCTTAGCTTTAGAGCATCCACATTAGTTGGGGAGATTTGGGAGATAATGTAAGAGTGATTAGGAAAGAGAAGGTGGGAGGGGAGAGAAAAAGAAAGAAAAAAAAATAACAAAACAAAAATTGAAAAAAATAAAATAAAAAACCGACAGCGCGCCTGACATTGGCTGTGCGCAAACGCGCACAGCCAGTGTTCTTTCTTTTTTCCTTTTTTCTGACATTATGCTTGAATTTGCAGAACAATTATTTTCACAAATAACCCCACCCCACATTTGTTATTATCCCCATCCAAGATAATTCATCTGACATTATCTCCATAATATCCACTGATGTGGATGCTCTTAGTGTTCCTCTCTCGGCGAGTTCTACAAAAAACCATGCACTTGCAAGGAGACCTTGACCTTTTCTCTATTGCCTTCTCTCTCTTTCACATGACAAACAATTTCTCTCTCGACGGGTCCCACAAAAAACCATGCACTTGCAAGAAGACCTTGAGCTTCTCTCTCATGCCTTTCCTCTTTTCCACATGGCAAACAAACTTGCAAAAATTAAACAAAAATTGCTGATGGTGATGCTCTTAGTAATCAACTAATCATGAGAACAAAAAATGAGAAAAGAAAAAAATAAAGTAAAATGTCAATTCTCCATGTGTTCAATATGGAACTTTATAGAGGCAATTCCAGTTAAGTTGGTTGGGCTATTGACTCAAGTGTGTTCAAAATGTCATTCTTCATGTGAATGTGATCTTTTGTTAATTATGATCACAAACCGAAGTTTACCCAATGCACATCAAATTTTCCTCGTCACTCAAAATATGGAACTTTATTATATTTAAATATACCTTTTGAATCCAATTATGATCCATATTGAACTTTATTATGTAGAGACATACTTCTAATGTTTGAACCAAACGCAAACTGGTGCATCAGTGGGAGATTCAAGTAAAGCATATTTATCGAGAACATAATAGAATTACGAATTGACTAAATAATGTTTCTATCCAGCATACTCGGAATTTAAAGGTGCTTAATAGCCCTCATCCAAATTGCCACTTCTACTCTTACTCTCAGTAGTCGGTATTGGTGAAATTTAAACATAGGGCTACATATGTCCTTGTAATAATGTCAGAACAATTCTCATTACCAAAATCACAATACTATCCTAAAATAAGTAATAAATTGAAAAAGAAAAAAAAAAAAAAAAAGAAAAAAAGAAAAGGTAAATATAACAATGGAGCCATAGGATCATAAGACAATGTTACACATAGGATCACAAGACCCCAGTTCAGTTCTGAGGATGTTAACTCACAAATGAAAAAAATAGTACCCCATAGGATCATAAGACAATGTTCCAAATCATCAAATTTGATCTGTACATGTGGCTTGATTGCTTAACTAAGTTCTTGTAGGCGCCACCTCGGGAATCTACATCAAACTGCAAAACGTAAGCCTAATCAAACTGCTGGCGCAGGGCCATCTCTGTCTCGCTCTTCCATGAAGCATGCGATGACTGACCCTTCATCCTCTTACTCTTCTCCTTGTCTTTTATGGTTGACCCTTTTTTCTTCCCCGCCTCTGTATTTGCATCTGAAGCAGGGCGATCACCGCACATGGGGCAAACTATTCCTCTCGAATGTGAGTATGTCTTAGGAATCCCACAAGTCAAGCATATCCTGTGTAAACAATGTGTTGGATCAAATAATAGAAATGTAAACACTAAGGGGCAGCACAACGGCTAGTGAATGTTCAACCGTCATTCATGAAGCCTTTTGAAAATGTTGTTGGATAAGAGCAACAATTTGGAAAGAGAACTACTGTTTCTGGATGTTGGGTTCAAAATACGGGAAACCCCCTTGAAAATTTTGGTCAAGAATGTAAGAGTTGAGTAAAAAATACTGATATTTTTTAACTGTTGATTGCCCTGCACAGTTCTGTTTATGCAGGAAAGTGTATTTTGAGAATTTCCACTTTCCATTACATAAGAACTTAAGAGATAGAAATAACGGGCATGATGGGCACAAATAATGCATTTTTGTCGCATCAAAGCACAAAGAAAAAATACCTCATAAGATCTGCAGCATCTTCTGAACTTTTGCCTCCTTGTGCAGTGGCCGAAGTCGCCGAACCCGCCAAAGAAACACTCCTTTGCCCTGTGGATGTCTTGGGCATGGTACCCTCTACATCACTTCTAACTCTTTCATGGATCCCAACTAACTGAGGCTTAGCCTCAACTACAGCACCTTCAGAGAAGAGAAAATAAAACAACCATTTAAACTCGAAATCTAGAGATAAGTGAACAACAACAAAAATTGACAACAATACAACATCATCTACAAGGCATTAAATCAACTGCAAAAGATTAAAACCCAAATTGGAATTCAAGCATCTGTAAGAAGCGTGGCAGTTTCAGAACATGACTACTAAACTTTTTGCCTAAGAATCGAAACAGAAATATAAACAGCAGTTTTGCATTGCATATATATCTGTCCATAAAAGTGAGGCAACAAATCGGAGAGAATAAAGCACAACATAAACAATCGGAAGTGACAAATAAAATATATTAATAGGAAAGAAAGGCAACTTATCACTTATCAGATGATAGTAATTAAACAGATTAAGTTCTTCTAGGTTAGGCAGCTATTATGAAACTTAAGTGCAAGCTTTAAACAACACATTTATGGCAAGTTTAGCTAAACCGAATCTAGCTAGGGTATGTGAAGAACAACCAGAAATCAGCAACAAGCAACATAGTATATTTGTGTGAACTCATTTCCTAATCCAACAACAAGCAACATAGTAAACTGAAAAATTAGGAGCTAGTTTCTCCATTTGAATGATTAGCTTATAAAGAGTGTAACTTTTGAAGAAGTATAAATTACAGCTAAATTAAACTATACTGGCTTAAACTCAAATTATAGCTAAAAACTAAGTTGTAATTTAAGAGAAAAGCAATTACCAGAAGGTAAATCTTTCTTATCTCTGTTGTTCTTACGGCGGCCGTGCCGCCAGCGCTGGTTGTCGGCGTCATTAGCAGCTTCCTGAACACTGTTGTTTAGAAACTCCGGCGGTGCCAAAACCTGAAATAGTTTCCAAACACAAAATCAAAACTTAATTTGGATTAAGCACAAGTGGCCACAAAAATAATAATAATATTTCAGCTTCAAGAGAATAACACAAATCTTACTTCGGAAAAGGCGTCGAGAGCAGAGGGGAGGGAGGAAGACGAAGAAGGGTTAGGGTTGAAAAGAGGTTTGTATCGATTCTGGGGAACGGCGCCGTCGTCGTCGTCGTCCTCCGGCTTGTCGTAGCCGAGCTGCTCTTCTCCTTCTCCGGCGTCGTCTTCTTCTTCCTCGGCGGAGGAGTAGCCCTGCAAGAGTGTCAAGCTCATTCCGACACAGTATACGGAGATCCGATTTCAGCTGCTCCGATTTTCAACCCGACAACTTTGAGCTTAGGGATTTTTCACTGCCCAATTGTAATCCATTCTGGGCCCGATGGCTCATAAGGGGCAAATTATGCCCGCGCAACGTGTTCATCGTGAATGGTGAACACGGGTTCAAACGATGTCGTTTTTATGTAAAAAAAATTTTTTTGTTAATGTGGTGTTAACGGCGCGCATTTGGTCAGATTATGAATTTTCTGTTATAAGATTATCAATTTACTGTAAATTCATAATCTCATAACAGAAAATTCATAATCGCATAAAAGAAAAACATCTATTAAATTATGAATTTTCTCTTATGAGATTATGCATTTACTGTAAATTCATAATCTCATAACAAAAAATTCATAATTTATGAATGTTGAAGAAGCTTGCGCTACAGAGGAGCAGTCATGGTTTCGGACGGGAATGTGTAGGCATGGTTCCAAAGAGAATGTGCAGGCATGGATTCATAATTTATGAATGTCCGAAATCATTGCTCACCTCAAATTAAAGTGAAACTGCGAAATGTGAAAATGAAGAAGAAAAGTCACGCGATTAATTAAGGAAAAAAAAAAAAGAAAAAGAAAAAGATAACGGTGTACTAACACCGTTGGGACCGTGTTCACCATGGATGGTGAACACGGTTCCATGGCATAACGATTGCTCATAAGGCCATAACTTTAGTCTTTTTTTTTTTTTTTTTTTTTTTTTTTTTTTTTTTTAAGATGGGAAAAAGCTCGTAATCACTACTCGAGAGTGTGCAATGTGATAGGGAATATGTCTCGAGCTACTAACCCTTTTGTACCAGGCACCTGGTCGGTTACAACTCCTCGCAAAGCAAGGGTCTATTCCCCATCATATCCGACTTGACACCGACCCGACCTGAGAGTTAGGTATCTGATTGGTTTAATGAGCTTCTTCTCTTAACCTTTATGCTTGGTTTCGATCTAGCTGTTCTGCTGGGCCCCGAGCACGTGAGATAAGCCTTTAAAAGGTATATACCGATAACCGAGTGCATGTAGGACATCTGGCATGTATGCCGAGCTCTCGGCATGTGTCCCTTTCAATCTGCTATAAATACCACGCTAGACGCTTGTCGAAGGAACTTTTGGGTCTCTCTCTAGAATACTGACTTGCTCGGGAACCCCCGACGGGTAATAACCCGAGCCATTATATCCTCCAATACTCATTGCATAATAACACCTACGAATACGTATATTCGGTGAAAT